GGATGGATGGATGAATAGATAGATAGATAGATAGATAGATAGATAGATAGATAGATAGATAGATAGATAGATAGATAGATAGATAGATAGATAGATAGATAGATAGATAGATAGATAGATAGATAGATAGATAGATAGATAGATAGATAGATAGATAGATAGATAGATAGATAGATAGATAGATAGATAGATAGATAGATAGATAGATAGATAGATAGATAGATAGATAGATAGATAGATAGATAGATAGATAGATAGATAGATAGATAGATAGATAGATAGATAGATAGATAGATAGAAAGAAGCTGAAAGATAAGTAGCTAGGTAGTAGTAGGAGGCCACACTGATGTGTAAGCAGGTATCAAGTATGAAGCGAGGTTGGTAGACGTCAGGTCGATAGAATGTTAGGTAGGTAGATTGTTAGGTAATGGGTAGATGGCAAGGCAGGTAGTTGATAGGGAGGCAGGTAGATGGCTTGTTTGTAGAAATATTGGCAGATTTTTTTTTTTTTTTCAAGCGTATATTGACATAAAGACGCACTGGCAAAGCGACTACCGTCTTTAAAAGCTTTAACAAACAACATCTGAAGCTCCAAGTTATACAGCTTTAAAATCAAACGTATCTTCAATTCTAGTTATTTCAGTTCTAACATACACCAGGGAAAACTATTGAATACATGGAACGAAAATTAAATGCATTTGAAAGTGTCTAAAAAAATGATGGGATGAAATGGGTTAAATTTATTTAAAAAAAAAAAAAAGAGATCATAGAAATGTCTTGACAAAATATATGTATCGGCTGCATTAGGATAAACAAGGTGGATATATGTTGGACACACTCTGAGACGAAATTAGCAAAAAATTACTAAACAATGAATGAAATGGGAAACAAAAGGTCTGAGAAAAAGAGGACGCCCAGGGACAATTTTCAGAAGAACATTATAACGAGAAGCTAAAAACGTTGGATTGAACGCCATTTCAGAAATCGAGAGAGTTGCATGACATAGAGAGGAATAGAGGAAACATGTGCGAGCCTTATGTGAGGTCTAACGGCACACAAAGGAAGATGATGGCCAATGCTGACATGATATCCGGTTTTTCCAAAATTTCTAACTTCCAAAAAACACACGCTCGCTGTGTTGTTTCAAGGGCCACATTTTGTGTAGAAAAGACAAGAACCACTGCATCGTACAAGCGTATCGTCAAAGTCCACTAATTAGGGGTGTTTCCTTTGAATTCAGAGTGCATATGCCTGAGAGGAACCGACATTTTGCGTACAAAATAACCGGATCTGTAAAAGGAATATACACGCAAAACTGACGTTCTGGAACAGGTCCAAAGGAAAGCTGTGCACAAAGACAAGAACCTTCTGTCGGATTTTACAACCGGTAAATGAGAGGAAGAACAGGAAGAAACAATCACTCTTACTCTCGAATGTAGCAATTGTGACTGTGAAACAAGCATCCGATATCTTTAAAACATTTGTTTCAGTGAACCATTGTATGAGAAAGCATTTAATAAATCTTAGTCAAAAGTGCAGTGGCTTTGATCGTATGATTTAAAAATCACACTACGAACGCGTACGTAAAGAAAGACATAACATGACCTATTTAAAAACAAAAACGTCCTGGGTTTTCATATGTATTATTTTTGGAGCAAAAGTGACACTACACAACAACTTAATTCGTCTGCCCAATGTCTTAATTTTGCGGGCGGGATAAGCCAGGAGGTAACTTTGGACAGGTAATGTATCCATCAAACTGACACTTACACAACTTGGAGGTCTCTGGTCGTTTCATGCCACAACACCGTGTAGCAGTATAGTTTTAGAATTCGTTAGTGCTTCAGTTGCTGTGTAATGTCATTTCTTTTTTTTTTATAATCATCGTTGTCATCAGCCTCGTCATCGTCATATTCTTCTATTTCTCTGCATCCTTTTCGTCTTGTTTTTACCTTTTTTTATTTCTACAGTAGCAACGACAACCACAACCGCCATAAACACTGCTACTACTTCTAACACCACGACCACTTCCAGCAATACTACTGCTATAGCTGCTGTTACTACCACCAGCACCATCACTAGTCTAAGAACAACTACTGCAGCCGCTACTTCCAGCATCACTACTACTAATACGACTACTGCTGCCGCTACTTCCAGCATCACTACTACTAATACGACTACTGCTGCCGCTACTTCCAGCATCACTACTACTAATACGACTACTGCTGCCGCTACTTCTAGCATCACTACTACTAATACGACTACTGCTGCCACTATCACCACTACTACTGCTGTTGCTGCTTGTGCTAGCACCACCACTATTGCTACTACTGCTACCATCACCACTACTACTGATGCTGGTAATACCAGCATCACCATCACTACTACTACTATTAATACCACCACATTTACCATCACCATTCTTCATAATCAATTGCTTTATTTTTATCTTCTGCTTTGCTAATGTGGATCTGTCTTTCAAAATTATCGTTTTGTTTTTTAAGTGATGTCGTTTTCTTACACCTGACCTCATCACTTGCTACACACATCGTCCTTGTTTGTGTTTTGTTCACTAAATTCATAGTCGGTTTCCGCTTTGGTCTTCTTCTGGTCGATTCTCCACAAAGCCAAACTTCACAGTTGAGCAAACTTCATGCACAACTGTTAATCTGAAGTTTTTTTTTTTTTTTACAAGACTGAACTGTAAATGAGTTTTCATCCCGATGTGTGTTTCCTGTTTAGTAATTGAACATCCCCAAACGCTTCACCAATCCAGTGGTAGCTGTCCGCTCACATGTAAATTTGTTTTTCTCTTATACACTTCCCGTTATAAATCTTTTTGCGACATCTCCGTTACAATTAAGGTGTGTCTTTCTACAACTAATTTGCCTATATTAATTATTCATCCTTGATCTAATGAGTAATTTTATGTGAAGTTTATTCTCCTGGTATAATATTGTTCTCATTGTTCTAGGAAAACATATCAGGAAGTCTCTAAAATTATTCGTTTAAAAAACAAACCTGTCATTTACTGTCTTCTTTTATCCTTACTTGACCTGTGGGTATGGAGGTTTATCTGCCTTAGCCTGGCTCGCTGGCGTAAATGGCTAAACCTGAGTGCGCGGTGACCGGGTGACGAACTCCTTGTGTTCCGGGTTCACGCCCGGGGCTAGGCAGAAAAGCCACGTTTCTCTCAGATTTACGGTATTTATCACGGAATCAAAGGCCGAAGGGTTGCGATATCCATAATACCGAGCCTAAGGGTTAACAACTCATGGCTTCTGAGTATTAAAAAAAAAATCTGCCGTAAAAATTAGGGCTCCATCATTAGTTCAACCGCCACAGACTGTGCAGGTTAGGTTTTTTTTGAGGTGGTGGGGAGGGGTAGGGTTGGGATACTTGCGGTCTATGTTTCTGCAGCAAGCAGTAATTCAGAGGTAACGTAATATTTGATAATATTCAATTGTTAATTTTAGTTCGGTAGTTGGCCGGTCAAATAGAGGGAGGATGTGTTACATACTTGTAGACCTAAAAGTGCCCTTAGGAGTAACCTACCGAAAAGATAGGATGAGTCTGAGAGATGATTAGAGACTGGTTCTTGTATGTTATGTTATCATAACCATTGTCATTATGTATTAGTTCTTCCCATACGTGTTTCGTCCCCTGCTTCCAATGTATTTCATCTCTTCAGAGAAAACAATGACATAGTCTTAGGCGAAGCTGGCTATATTATAGCTCCTATCTTGATCTCAAAAATGACACCGTCGTGCTTCACACAAGGCTCCACTTTGAGATCAAAGAATCGTGTTAACGTCAAAAACGAATCCCTGTCTGCCGGTATAGTCCGTATAGCCTTGCTGATATCTGCCCTGTCCATGAATTTTGCTGCATGCAGTTGTGCAATACATGCCAGCCGGGTCTGCTTGTTCGTCATCTTTAACACCAGCTTGTCCAGGTGTGTACACCTATGGTGAGGGAGTTAGGAAGGTCTTCTCAATGCACACAGTGCGGAGGCGATCTGTTGCAATTTCACGAACCATTTTCATTGGGTATCTGAAACTTGTATCGCTTGTGTAGCAGTTTAGTCGGCTGCCAATGCGAGTGCTCCAAAAGAAGCCCTTATCTGTTTAGTCATGTTTGACGTTGTTGCCTGGTCTCCACAACTATCCGCTTTTATTGGTTGACCAATCCTTTGTGATATGTATGCCCTTGCCCACTTTGATCGATGTATGCCCATCTGATAAATGATACTTTGATCACACGACCTGTCTTACACTGACCCTAGATCTGAGGAAAAATGATAAATGTCTGCTGAAAGAAGAAGAAGAAGAATATAGAATCCTGTCTATGAAGAAGAAGAAGAACCTCTAGACAACAGAAGAAGAAGAAAAAAGAAGACAGAAAAAAGAGAAGAAGAAGAAGTGAAAAAAGAAGAAGGAAGAAGAAGAAGAAGAAGAAGAAGAAGAAGAAGAAGAAGAAGAAGAAGAAGAAGAAGAAAGAAGAGAAGAAGAAGAAGAAAAGAAGAAGAAGAAGAAGAAGAAGAAGAGAAGAAGAAGAAAGAAGAAGAAGAAAAAGAAGAAGAAGGAAGAAGAAAAAAAGAAAGAAGAAGAAGAAGAGAAGAAGAAAGAAGAAGAAGAAAGAAGAAGAAGAAAAAGAAGAAGAAGAAGAAGAAAGAAGAAGAAGAAGAAGAAGACAAAGAATAAAAGAAGAGAAATAGAAGAAAAGAAAAGAAGAAGAAGAAAAAGAAAAGAAGATCAATAGATGAAAAAAAGAAAAAAGAAAAAAACCTAGATCAATAGCTGGATGTATAAATATGAAAGAAATCATCAAAGTTCTCTTTTGATCATTTGGTCACTTGTTTTCGGATATCTGCTAACTGTGCAACTGACTTTCCGTTGTTTGTACTGTGTGTATTATATGAATATTTGATACAATAGGAAAAGTCGGTTAAATACTTTATGTACCTGTCTGAAGGTCCGCAATTCAATGCAAGGCCCAACATGAAAGTTGTCAACATTAAATCCCTGATCACCTTCTGCGTCGTCTCCATTGTCTGCGTGACGCCACAGCAAAATGGTATGTCTTCGTATGTTGGTTAGTTTGACGTTAGTCTCCCCAAATAGAGTAGGTCACTTTTCATTTATAAGTTTGTTGGGCTGGTCGACTTTACTGAATGTTACTGGTGTGTCCCGCTGTGTTGTTTGGTTTCTGCGATATCTTGCATTTTCGTTTTTTTGTCCGAGAAAGAGAATGCCAATGACATAGGTTGCAGCAGTCTCTGTGGAGGTTGTGTTAGACCCAGTTTTTCCCTTGGGGGGGGGAGGGGGTGTTAAAAGCCCTTGCGTGCTGAAATATACAAAACACGATATCAACTGCATTGCTGAACACTCCCGTAAACGTGTGCGAGGTTACGGAGCTTGGTAACTATCAATCACAAGTGAGCTAGAGTGTATACGGGGAGGTCTGGGAAACTAACGTCGAACTAACCTTGTTTATGCTACAAGCATTTATGTTGCTTCTGCCACCATGAACACCATCACCCGGTAGTAGGTTCGGGTCCTGACCGTACTGGACATTTTTTTTTTCAAAATTACTTTGGCTGCCAGGTCGACCCAGCCTTGAGTGGGTATCAGGTGGAGTCCTGAGAAGTAAACGCAGCCGGCCTCATGTTGACCACATCACCCACCAGGTGCCGATTGGTCTATAAAACATGCCTCAGGCGGGGAAAGGGTCCTTTACCCTCTGCCTTTATCAATGTGAGATGTATTGCCATTTGTCATGTCCTACACTTTTTTGTGTTTTGTTACTGCCTTTGAGAAACATCTATAATATTGTATGTTATCTGTCAGCAGTGATTCACGCTCTCTCTCTCTCTTTCTGTCTGTCTCTTTGTCTGTCTGTCTGTCTGTCTCTTTGTCTGTCTGTCTGTCTGTCTGTCTGTCTGTCTGTCTGTCTGTCTGTCTGTCTGTCTGTCTGTCTGTCTGTCTGTCTGTCTGTCTGTCTGTCTGTCTGTCTGTCTGTCTGTCTGTCTGTCTGTCTGTCTGTCTGTCTGTCTGTCTGTCTCTCTATACACATATATATATACATATATATATACATATATATATACACACACACACATCCGTGTGTGTGCATTAATTCATTACCTTGTTGTGTCATTATATGTCATATAAGGCTTGCAGTCTAATTCCCCATTCAGTTGTAATCACTTCGATATTATAGACGGAATCCAGTCCAACACCGTGTGACTTCTCTGAGCAACGTTGGCCTTTGCTTTTTTTATGTGAACATCCTCGTCTCATGAATCCCTCTATTTCCATATTAGTGTCTGGTGATTCTCCCTTTGTTTCTACTCAGAATGTGTCCATTAGAGCACCACCTTCTCTGTCTTATAACTGCTGATACATTTTTCTTTTTTCACCAATCTTGTATTCATCCCTTTTTTGCGTTCTTTAGTTTCATCAGAGGAGAGTGTCTATGGAAAAAAAAAATCCCCACCTGCAGTAGTGGGGATAGCACTAGCCATGCGACCATAAATCTGCAGGCTCAAAAAAGACCCCCCCCCCCCCCCCCGCCCCCTTTTTTTCCCTACCTACACCTAAAAAGTGGTATAATAAAGGCATTAATTTAAAGTTTCCTCAGGTATTTGTTTTCAGGTGCATGTAACTTTCGTTCCATGTCTTTGGTGTTTCTCCAACTTCCACCTGCACGTGTTAACAACCAAAATAACATTAGAATTTAAAATATGTAATTGTGTGTGTTTGTGTGTGTCTGTATGCATGTATATCCATATGTGTATGAGTGTGTGTGTGTGTGTGTGGGTGTAATAGTATATTCTGATTTCCGTTTCCTTTCACACATCTGTTTCCGAAAGACCTATAATATGTTTCCTTCCTTGAATGTCTACCTGACATAGCAGCATGCGGCTCTGGGTGGTTCGGTGCCAACTGTCAGTACAAATGTCGGTGCAGCAATAATAATTGTGACATAAACGGATTATGTCTAGGAAATGACGCCTGCAAGGGAGGATGGTTTGGTCCTGCCTGCCAGTACGGTAAGTGTGCCTGCGTGTCCTTGTTGTTATTATTGTTCTTGTTTGTCACGCAGGTGAAAATTGTTTAATGTTGCAGCCCTCTAACATGTTTTTGGAAGTGCGGATCTTCTGTAGATGTTCCAAAGACCCATTTCTTGTGAGCCAGTTACACTGTTGACAAAGGCCTCAGTTGGTAGCTAAGTGCCCTAGCTCGTTGGCGCCATGTTTCCATTTACTGATCTACTTTCCCTGCCTTCGAGAATACATTTCCTACATTTCTGAGTTTATGTCTGTATCTTCATCACATACGTCGACCAAATCTGTAAATCAGCTAACATCAGCGAGGGGGACAACACCGGGGACTTAATAAGTGAACTGCTTTCCGCCGATGACAAGGCAATAATAGTATCAACAAAAGTACAGCAACAAGAACATATTTATAGACACCACTAGAATGTGGCAACGTGGGCATGATGATCAACGTAAACAAAACAGAAGTAATGAAATTCTCCAGAAAGGGAAGAACCACTAATATCAAAATTGATGAACGAACGAACGAACGAACTTTATTTTTCAAAGGGTCACAAATTGGGCACCAGGCCCGTCTTACATTCGGCCCTTCCAGTCAACCATCTTTCGCACAGCAGTTGTATTTTTACTAATAAAGCATGTTATGATCATATGATAATATGCATATTATGAATATTACAAAATAACACAAAAGCATGAGTTGTAAAGTGCATGCAAAAACCCGCGCGTGCATACATACACCCACATACACACGATCACCCACTCAAACGCACATACATGCACACACAGACCAATTCATACTGAAACATACATGTGGACATACGCGCGAACACACCCACACACAACTACGCAGACGCATACATTCGCAGACACACACGCAGATACACAAGCAGGCAAACCACATACTCAGAATCATATGTATATAAACACGCCTACACATACATACATATCACACACGCGCGCGCGCAAACATACATATCATACACACTTTGTTTAATAATAAATTGATAATGCAATATGGGTTACATTACATTCAAGGTTGCATATAATCGCTTGTAAGTATAAATTGAAAAAGTTCACGGTTAAATGAATAGGGACTTTTAGAATTTTTCAGGTCTAGTGGAAGTTGGTTCCACAAATGAGCAGCGGAGTACGCTAAACTTGTTTTATATAAATCTATTCTAGGTTTAGGTAAATGTAATAAATTTAGTCGCTTGCTATTTATAGGATTTGATTTAATTAATCGGAAAAGGTAGTTTGGAGTATTTTGAGATAACATTTTATGAATAAATTTGGCCTTGTTACAAATTAAACGTTTGCTAAATGGCAATAGTCTTAGATGGTTATAGAGATTATTTTTTACAATTTGTTTATTATCTGAAACCAGGCATAAAGCACGGTTTTGAAGAGAACTTAGTCTTTTAACATTGGATTTGGCGCAACCATCCCAAACTGTGGAACAATAGTCGACATGTGTTTGGATGTAAGACGCGTAAAATACTTTTCTTGCATCTTCGTCTAAAAAGTGCTGAATTTTTGCTATTAACTTTTTGTGCTATTTTCTTAGTTATGACAGAAACATGAGAATTCCAGGTTAAATGGTTGTCAATTGTAAGGCCTAAAGTTTTGTGTTCCGTTACATTAACAATAGGTAATTTATCAATGTAGAGCTCGAGTGTCGGCTTGTGCAGTACTAATGTTTGCAACTTTTGTCTGGTTGTTATAAGCATAGACTTCGTTTTATTTATGTTAATTTGCATGCGATTGCTGTTGCTCTATTTACAAAGATTGTGTACTTCTTTCTGTAAAGATCTTTCTAACTCATTACGATTCTCATTACTAGTATATATTGTACAGTCATCAGCAAATAAATCGCATGTTATACTAAGATGTAATGGAAGGTCGTTAATATACGTGGCAAATAGTAGTGGACGTAGAATCGACCCCTGTGGCACGCCTATATTTAACTGAGTGGATTCTGACAGGCGGTTGTTGAAGGGTACTACTTGCTGTCTATCAGATAAAAATGACCGCATTATTTCGACTAAATTATCGTTAGTTTTTAATATTTTTAATTTATTAATTAGAATGTCATGATCAACCATATCGAAGGCTTTCTTAAAATCTACAAAAACTGCACCGCAAATTTTGCCTTTGTTGATGTTAAAGTGCCAGTTGTCTGTCATTTTTGTCAGTATGGCAAGAGTGCATGAACACTAATTGAAGCAAGCGAAGTATTTTACCTATCTGGAAAGCATTTTTTTTTCGGAAGACGGAAGAATGAATAAAGAAATCCAACAAAAATGCAATAAAGCTAATCATGTTTTAGGTCAAATGGCACTAATTTCGAAAAGCAAGCATGTGAATATGAACACTAAAAGAACACTGTTTAACACAATATTCTTACCAACGCTCTGCTATCAATGTCAAACATGGACACTGTCTTCAGAAAACAGAAGGACATTTTTCACGACAGAAATGAAATGTTTACGTACTATGCTAGGTGAAGCTAGGAAAGATCCACTTAGGGACGATGATATCAGGAAGATAATTGGCACATAACCAATACTGAACTTTATAGATATACAAAAAAATCAAATGGTTTGGCCATGTAACAAGATTGGCAGCAGACCGGGTACTACAGAGAGCAATGTTATACAGATACAGTGATAAAGGACCCAGAGATCGACCACGCAGAAATGGACCACAGAAATGTAAGAGACACTGAAAACTATTATATACGAAGCGAACAAAAAGAACCCGTTCTAAAGATCTCTTCCTACCCTGACGCCGCGAGGCATTCTAGGAGTAGAGGAAAGAAGAAGAAAGAAGATTTCTGTATCAGTAAGTTTGAACCAAGATGGCTGGTAGTGTTTCTGTCTAGCTTGGTTTAAGATCGTTAGTCGATGACACGACAAGCTGCCATTGTAAAACATACTTTGTTTTATAATCAAAATTCTAGTTCTTAAAACAGGTGGCAAAAAACCGCCAGGCGTGGAGAGCTATGACTTGTTGTTGTTGTTGTTATCGATCCAGCGGCGCATGAGCTTTCGCCCTTTGGCCCAATGCCATGTAGTGGAATTTGCATGTTTTCACAAGCTGTTCTTTTCCTCCGTACAAGGTGTTCCACTTGTCTGGTCTCGGAGGGAGTAGCGTTCTTCTTGTCTCACTGAGTTTTGGGCACTCAAAGAGATGGTGTTCAACAGTTTCGTAGGGGTAGTTACATAGCTGGCACTCTGGGGAGTGTTGTGGCTGTATTCTGTTTAGGTGTCCATTGAGTGGAGTATGTTGCGTTCTAAGTCTGAAGATGGTGGCCTGGTCCCTTCTTGTTAGATGGTTAATGCTGTCATTAGGATCAGGGCCAGACATATGTCTATAAAACTCTCTTCCAGTGTCTCCCATGGCCCATCTGTTCAACCAAGTCTCTTTGTTTATAGCTCTTATCAGTGTTTTTGCTGTCTGGAGGGTTGTCGCTGTAGGTGGTTGTTCTTGTGTTGCTCCTTTCTTTGCCAATCTGTCAGCTCTGTCATTACCTGGTGTGCCGGAGTGACCTGGAATCCACTGCATCAAGAGCTATGACTTCTGTCCTGCCCTAGGCTGAAGATGAAAGACTAACTAACTTAGAGAAACAGAACAACTGACTAATACGCACAAGTGTACATTAAACAAAACACAATCTCTTTCTTTTCAGTGGACCTAGCCTTTGGAAGAGCATCGGTATCAGAACTGACAGACGGCAATGATGACACATGTTCAGCTTATAATGACACCACCAACAGTGTGTTCATTAATTTAGACGAACCTTACACTTTTACCTGGCTAAGAGTTCATGGCACCAACAATGGTGGGTATGACATTTTTGCTGTTTACAGAATATCAAGCACGACAAGTCTGTCATTTTGGTAGTTGACAGTTTATGGTAGCAAGTATTGTTGGTATTTATTGCTAGTTTAGAGCTCAGTTTACCAAATATTGTAGGTATATACTGGCAGTATAAAACTCATGTTACCAAGTATTGTAGGTATATACTGGCAGTTCAGAGTTCATGTTACTAAGTATTGTAGATACACATATTGGTAGTTTAGAGTTCATGTTACCAAGTATTGTAGATATACATATTAGTAGTTTAGAGTTCATGTTACCAAGTATTGTAGATACACATATTGGTAGTTTAGAGTTCATGTTACCAAGTATTGTAGATACACATCCGGTAGTTTAGATTTCATGTTACCAAGCATTGAATAAAAACATATTGTAGTAGTTTAGAGTTCATGTTAACAAGTATTGTAGATACACATACTGGTAGTTTAGAGTTCATGTTACTAAGTATAGTAGGTATATGGTGGTAGTTTATAGCTCATATTACCAAGTATCGTATGTATATGGTGGTAGTTTAGAGTTCATGTTACCAAGTATCGTAGGTATATGGTGGTAGTTTAGAGCTCATGTTACCAAGTATCGAAGGTATATGGTGGTAGTTTAGAGCTCATGTTACCAAGTATCGTAGGTATATGGTGGTAGTTAAGAGCTCATGTTACTGAGTATTGTAGGTATAGATTGACAGTTTAAAGTTCATGTTACCAAGAATTATATGTAAAGATTGGCAGTTTAGAGTTCATGTTACCAACAATTGTAGGTATACGTTGTTAGTTTGCAGAGCTCATGGGAGTGACCTAAATGCTGGGATGTCGATTCTAAATTCAACACAACGTGCTGAATGGTAATGATGATTACGATGGGGACAATAAATATCAGAAATAGTAAAACAATTTGTAATTTACACATGAATATTTAAACATGAAATTATACACCTAATTAGCATGTCGGGAAGAGTGTGTGGAAAAGGGATTGGGGGAGGGAAGGCTAGTGCGGCCACAATTCCCCAGGTACTATCACCCCTACACATACGCACGCACACACAAACATACACATACACACCGACATCTATGTCTACAATGCTGTCTTATTATTGCTACAGAGTCCCTGGTTGGTCTGCAAGTGACGTTTGACAACGGTGTCGGCTGCAACAACCCAAGAAATGTCACGGTCGATGATAGAACATTAGACATCTACTGTAGCAATGACGAGATGGTTCAGTTTGTGACACTTACAGGACCTAGAGTGTCTTCTTTGTGCTCTGTTTATATTAGCGGAGGTAAGTACTGTCTTATCTGTTTACATCAGCGAGGTTGGGTCCTGTTTTTTTTATTTCTGTTTCCATTAGCGGAGGTGGATCCTGTTTATTATGTTTACATCAGCGGGGTTGGGTCGTTTTTTTTTTTTTTTTCTGTTTACATCAGCGGGGTTGGGTCCTGTCTTTTATGTTTTTGTGGGCTGTATAGGGTACTGTCTTTTATGTTTACATCAGCGCGGTTGGGTCCTGTCTTATTTATTTACATACGGAAAGTAAGTCATGTCTGCTCTATTTACATCAGTGGTCGTAAGTCCTGTCTTATCTCTTTAGAGAGAGAGAGAGAGAGAGAGACAGACAGACAGACAGACAGACAGACAGACAGACAGACAGACAGACAGACAGACAGACAGACAGATAGACAGACAGACAGACAGACAGACAGACAGACAGACAGACAGACAGACGACAGTACAGACAGACAGACAGACAGACAGACAGACAGACAGACAGACAGACAGACAGACAGACAGACAGACAGACAGACAGACAGACAGACAGACAGACAGACAGACAGACAGACAGACAGACAGACAGACAGACAGACAGACAGACAGACAGACAGACAGACAGACAGACAGACAGACAGACAGACAGACAGACAGACAGACAGACAGACAGACAGACAGACAGAACTTATAGTGTTATCATTCATAGGCTAGTTATAATCCATATGTGAAACGAATATCTTCCTCATACGGTCAGTAAAAATATGAGGCGCTTGGAAAATATGTAGTTGTATCTCTCTCCTGTCATTTCTGATAGTCAAGGCTATAATGCTTCAGTCTTGCTTTCAACCTCGTCGAAGAAAGGTTACCTTATTTTTGTTTTCTTTCTGAGCCAGTGGAAACCATACACAGACTGTCCATCATTGTCCAATATGAAAGGTGAAAGAGACAGCAGTCTCAGGCAAATCTCATATTTCACATACGCATCAAATGTACAATGCAACTACCAGAGTTGCTAACACCTGCAGTCTGTTACTAGAATCCATACACAAGGAAACCAGTTGTACGTCATTTTCTAAAAATTCATTTCACAGCACACACCTCCGTGAGCAACTCAAGCTAGCCGAAAGAACCTGGTTTCGTTTTTACTTTTTTTTTTATTTATTTTTTTTTTGGGGGGGGGGGGGGGGGGGGGGGGGGGTCCCATTCACTTTACTGTTTATGGTTGAAACCAGTAGATTACTATAAAGAACAGGGCCCACAAATTGAAGACAGACGGACAGGAGCAAGAGAAGTTAAGGGGCAATATGAATTATATATTACGCCTAACTGCCCCATTAGGACTCCAAATCGTAAAAAGCAATGAGGTGTGACAAACTTCCTTCTACTTAATTTCCTGACGATAATTGTCCTTAAGTGAAATTTTTAGGGTATTTTAAACATCCGAAATTACTACTGAAAATTATATTTTTATCGTGACAGTGGGGAAATTGGAGGGGAAGAAAGTCAGAGGACGACCGAAAGAAAAGATGCTGGACAGTTTGAAATCATGGCAAGGAGGATCAGCTGTGTCAAAGCTGAGGAAAAATAAAGAAGGCAAAAGGTTGTGGATGGACATGACCACTAACGCCACACGGCATGGACTTTAAGAAGAAGTTGTGCCAAGTACAATACTTGTTAACATGGACTACAAATATATTTTTTCCCAACATCCACAATTTCTTCTAAATTTTACGTATACTTTTGACTATGCTAAAAACTTAATGATACATTTGTTGCTTACAGAATGAGCACCACACTTTGTACCTAATTTTTTTCCTTGTTGAGACACTTATTATGTGTTATATAGAAACCCAGCACTAATTGCTATGACAATTTTTTAAAATTTTTTTAGACATTTTTAAAAGAAAACCACTATTTCTTTTTTTTTTTTTTTTTTTTTTTACTTTTAGGCAGAAATGTTTCTGGTTACGCTCTGGTTTTACTATCAGGCACACCATGTTGCCGTTATTTTTTTTTTTTTTTTTTTTACATTCATGTAGAAATGTTGCAGATTTTACCATTATTTTACTATAGGACAAAAATGTTGCACAATTTACCACTGTTTTACTATCAGGCACAAATGTTGCAAATTTTACCATTGTTTTACAATTAGGCAGAAACGTTGCCGTCAGAGAAACAGCCCAACAGTCGAGCACGTACATCACATGGGTAAATGGCCAACAGATGCCCTTTGTAGCAAACCTATCTGTAGATGGCGATTCGAATCCACATTTCTTTCAAGGACTCAGCTGTTCGTTGACCAACGGTGGGGGTCAGTTACCTGATCAGTGGAATATCAGTTTCTCCCGAGTCAGAATCGTCAACAGATACATCGTCTATGGCAGAACAGATGGTATGTATCTGGGTGTTGTCTTAAATAGCGATGTATAATGTTATATGTATTTGAGTATAGCTTTGGTATGTATCTGGGTGTAGTCGTCCCAAATAGTGATTTAAAATGTTATATGTATCTGATTATTGCTATGGTATGTATCTGGGTGTTGTCGTCTTAAATAGTGATGTATAATATAATATGTATTTGAGTATTGGTGTGGTATGTATCTGGGTGTTGTCGTCCTAAATAGTGATTTATAATGTTATTTGTATTTAAGTATTGCTATGGTAGGTATCTGGGTGTTGTCGTCCTAAATAGTGATTTATAATATTATTTGTATTTGAGTATTGGTGTGGTATGTATCGGGGTGTTGTCGTCCTTAATAGTGATTTATAATGTTATTTGTATTTGAGTATTGCTATGGTATGTATCGGGGTGTTGTCGTCCTAAATAGTGATTTATAATGTTATATGTATCTGAGTATTGCTATGTCATGTATCTGTGTGTTGTCGTCTTAAATAGGAATGTATAATGTTATATGTATTTGAGTATTGGTATGGTGTGTATCTGGGTGTTGTATCCTAAATAGTGATTTATAATGTTATATGTATTTGAGTATTGGTATGGTATGTATCTGGGTGTTGTCTTAAATAGTGATTTATAACTGTTATATGTATCTGAGTATTTCAATAACTGGTGATGTATATCTATTTTATTCGTCTAATAATTCTTTCAATAACAGGGTTGCATTCGCGTTTTTTTTTTTTTTTGGGGGGGGGGGGGGTTTTGTTTTTGTTGTTGTTATAAATTATAATTTGTTGCTGTTAAATGTATCTGATTACTTTTGTTATCAATGACTCTGACAAATGCTTTATGGGTGTGATTATAGCTGCAAATGGTTAAAAATTGTGTCCATTATGTGTGGTAAATGAGAAAATAACATTTATGTTTTGCACTTTAATATATGTGATTATTTTTTTAATAACAGCATAAGATTACCACTACTTTCATAAGTGTGTGTAATGTAGCTATTACCTTTAAAGACTGTGTGAGGCATCCGTTGCCCTTAGAATTATTTCTTTTTTTTCCTTTCAGGTAACTGGGACCGACTTCAAGGTTTCAGACTCCAAAGTTATGCTGGCACAAATCTAGTCAACGATTACACGGCTCAACAACAGACGTCAGCAGTTTACAAGGTCAAACATGACAATCGAAAGGTGTCCTTTGTCCAGATCATCAGCGGAAGCAACGATAAAGTTCTACAAATGTGTGAGATGGAGATATACGGAGGTAGAGCGTCTCGGCCATTGTTTTGTCTTTTTCATTAGACACTTATTTTAAGAATAAGATGTGCACTACAAGGTGGAAGATACTTCGCACGAGAAGCCAAGTCAACAGCGAACACTGTTTCGCTAAATCTGTCATACTGCTTATTGTGTCATTTTCTGTGAAAATTTGAATGCGAAAGGCAGATCATGGGGGAACATTTCACCCATCGCACAGGCTTAAGAGCTTGAGGCCTTGTATGAAACTGTTGACCTTGTTTGTATTAACAGTGGCAATGTCACAAGGGTAGCAAGTAGACCAGGTGACGAAGACAATGTTATTGATCTGACCCTGGTTTCTTCTTCACTCACTTCAGTGTGTAAATGGGGTGTACTAGAGTACCATAGCAGCGACCACCACCCCTGCACATTATGGTGGAGAAAGGCAGATCCAAGAAATACAAGTCAAAGGTCAAGACACTTATGTATGACGGTACAGGACAGGGTGTGGTTGGTAAAATGATGAGTGACAAGCGCAAACAAATGGCAAAAAGAAGAGCTGGGAGCAACCCTTGGGGAATTGTGAGGTGGAAAAAGCCTAGGCAAATATGCGTGGTGCTGTGAGAAGATGGCAAAATGCTAAACGCAACAAAGTCGCCCAGCCTGGTCATATCTTGAGCCTGCAAAGAGACATGGACATAAAAGTCGCTCCTTCAAATAACTGGTTACTGAGGTTAAACGTGAAAAGTGGGCAGAAGTGTGACACAGAATAAGCAGAGTTAAATCACTGGAGCTGTTCTGGTGACTACATAAAAGTATGAACGGTGCCCACACAAATAAGAGCATTCCGGACTTCCAGTGCTCTGACCTCACCTGGCAGAAGTCCGACGAAAATAAGGGCAAGGCGCTATTAGAACACTTTCTGCAGCAGCACAGCAGCCAGATGCAGTTTTGCCAAAACGATTATTTCAGTCACAGAAGTTTGCAGACGATGATAAAGTGACAGTGGATGAGATCAAAGCTGTGCTACGACAAACAAATAATAGTGCATTAGGTCCATGTGGTATAAGATATGATGACATTAGCAGGTGAACTGAAGATGACCTGAAAGAGCTAGCAGATTTATACACTAATAGTATTACGAGTGCTAGTGTCAGTGAAGAGTGGTTACACGGCTTTCTGATACCCCTGCCAAAACCTAGAGAAGATCACACACAAATTCAGGGATATCAGATAATCACTATGCAAAACACTGTAAGCAAGCTGTTAGAAAAGGTAATCGCCAGAAAAATCTCATACCAGCTTGAGAGGCGATTTCTTCTTCCAAATACCCTTGGAGGGTACCGACCAAAGAAAGAAACATGACCAATGCTGCTGTTTTTGCTCATGATGTGTATAAAGGCTTCCACTCTGGAATTGAAACGTGCGCTGCGGCAACTGAAAGTACCATCAGAATTCTTCATATCTGACTCTCAGCAATAAGCAGATGGAAAGGATGGAAAGGATACAGAACGAGGCTATGCGCATTATACTTGGGTGTACAAGAAATACAGCATGCAGGGCGATGCACTACTTTTCCAACCATGGAAGACAGAATACAAATTTTCCAAGCGCGTGCCTACCTCACAGTCAAGGCGGACACACAACATCCATTACATAGTCAAATCAAGAAGATAAAAGGCAGCAGGCTAAAAAGAGGCAAATCGAGGACATCATTTTATAGGTATGTTCACTTTAGGACATAGAACCCGGCGAGGGAGTAGGTATAAGTGCCTTCAGAGTGCTGTACATCTTTTTATGTTTACATCCAGCTAGACAGAGAATGCAGACAAGAGAGTCCGGCTGCTGTGGAAGCAGAAGTTCAAGCCTTGATTTGCGAGAACGCAATAGAGGGTGATGCTGTCATTTACACGGATGGTTCTTTAATCTGCCACGTTAGAAGCTCGTGGGCTTTCACGGCTCAGTTTAGAGAAAGAGTTGTGAAGGAAGATTCTGGAGCTTTTGTCGTAACTACAAGTAGTCTGACTATGGAGGTCATGGCTGTTACTAAAGCAGGAACATGGCTAGATTCACCGACTTTTACTGGGAGATGCTTTCTCAGTGACTCGATAAGTATGCTCAGGAATATAGAGAAGGGCTGGGTCCAAAGGAAATGGTTGGTTGCTCTACAGAATTTACGGCTGACAAGGATTAGTTTCATTTTCGTGCGAGGACATGTGGGGGGACAAGGAAATGAGCAATTTGATAGGCTTGCAGGTAAGGCTACTGTGAAAGCCGGACAAGCCATGGACCAGGCTGATATAGTTAATGCTCTAAGAGAGTTAAGACGTTTGCGTGACCCAACTGAGAACTGTGAATATGCAACCATGGTCAGACTGCAAAAAACAACACATAACCGAGGTGTAGCCAAACAAGAACACTACGCGGATAGCCAAAGAAGAATTAACCAACACAGAACTGGTGTCAATAGCTAGCCGCTACACGCTGCTGGAATTACTAAGGACGGGATCTGAGCACTTGTGGACTGAGTGGCAATGAGGATAATCTGTCGACTAACTAACTAACTATTGTGTGAGTACCTCAGCCTTTCACAAACTACTTGAGAAAATCAGAAAGGCGGTAATACACTAATCGGATAGGCGCTAGCTAACTAGAGGAGAATTATACATTTATAATATGGGTGATGAATAACAGGCACCTTTTCCGTCTTTCCAGACGAAAGTGTTATGTTGCGCTATTGGGAGGCATGGGACTCACAGCCCATGGTGATGGCGATTGTGACTTGCAAGACTTGCCAGCTTTGAAAAAAAGTCTTCCACAATTATAGCTTAGGATTTTCAGGACCATTGTTGTCAATATTTGTATTAAGTCTATTTCTTCTCAGACGCTCAGCTGTTATCCTTTCATTTCTTCCTTTATTCTCATCCCCCTACTCCTTCCACAAAACACAGTCCATAGCATTTTGTTCCCGCGAGTCCTCATATCCAACGACTGGTACATATCACGAAACTCACCGCATCTCGCTTAAAATTCCGACAGGCTGCCCTATGTTCTAGGGGTGCATATTTTCAATACTATCAGCATTTTACATTCCGCAAGTTTTTTTTTCTATGTCAGCTGCCGCCATGTGTGTGCTACATGCATTGCGCGTTCGCTCTCCAAAGCTATCACAGCGACTTGACCTTCGCCATGAATTTTCTTAGACTATCAGCTTTTTTCAGGGCCTGTCGCAATATATAATGAATTCTTAAACCAGGAACGGTTGTACATGAGACGTAGTTGAGAGAGAGAAGGATACTAGTTGAACATTCGCTCATGAAGACACAAATAAAAACAAAACAGTCGCTCAGTGTCACCTGCGACGGAAGAGAGCTTCCCATTTTATTATCGGGCCTCAAACCAGCAGGAGTTGCTTTTTCGCACTATGTGTATAGACAGTTACCAGCACGGTAACTATAGCTTTCGATTTTTATGTTGTCTAGTGTGTTCTTTTATCTTTCTACTTCTTTCCATGAGTGCCGATCACAATACTTTCTGTTACTTGATTATTTCATAATATTTAACGGCCTCAAAAGGTTTCCCCCTCTGTTTATTTATAGGAATGACGGATACACACCAGAACCAACCAATCAAATACCTTTCTTAAATGTTTGTGTATTCTAGACAAAGCAATAAGGTTTGCTGTGTTCGTAAATTGTTGCTGTGATTGTTATTCGACATTTGCTTCGTTAATATAAATTTCTGTATCCTATGGTGCCATTTCAATGGGTTGAAATGAATTCTGTCCGTATTCCATAGTTGTGGATTTCAAGCTGTACGATATGCATGGCCAATAAGACACCTTTTTTGGGGGTGCCTAGTTGACCATGTATCTTAGTGCACTTGTATTCATGGCGAGGCGCAGACGCCGTCTGGGGGTGACAAGTTCAATTCCCGTCACGGTAACTATAGCTTTCGGTTTTTATGTTGTCTAGTGTGTTCTTCTATCTTTCTTCTTTTTTCTATGAGTGCCGATCACAATACTTTCTGTTACTTGATTAATTAGACAGCGAAGAGGAATGAATGCAATTCCATACAACCTACAACATAGTACAGCTTAAGGGAACGGTCACGGCATGAATGGGAGCCAACACGAAATCTCGCGCCCGGCAAGATG